ATATATATTTCAATAAGCCGATATACGTAGGATTTGTAGTTTCAGATCTTTCAAAAATGTTTATTTATGATTTCCATTGCAATTTAATTAAAAGACAATTTACAGTCAACCAGGTAAAATTATTATACACAGATACAGATAGTTTAATTTATCAATTTCTCAATGCTGATATTTATGATTGCATCAAAAATAATATACATAAATTTGACTCCTCAGACTTGCCACCAAATAACCGTTTTAATATTCCATTAGTTAATAAAAAAAATCGTAGGTCTTATGGAAACTGTAAGAAAATAATCTTCTTAAATTTGCTACAGTTTCGCGTAACAGACATAATTCTATTTCAATAAGTTTTTTTAAAATTGTAATCTTTTTTTCAATTACTCCTAATGATGTTGCATCTTTCAAATCTATAGGTTTAGCGAGATTACACTATCTTTTATTACCCATGTCAAACTGTTGATCCACAGTTAATTTGAATCCTTCACCAGGAGGCCCATGGACAGCACTTTTCACAATATCTTTCGCTAACTGTCGTCCGAAAACGTCAACACTCATTTTTAAACCTCTCACTTCAATAGTTCTTCAAAGAATGAGTAGCTGTGTAGAATACATTAGATTAATAAATGATTTTAGCTTTACGCAATTTCTCTAAAAGTGATAAAATTTCGTTAGTATGACTAAAATTTCCAGCAGTTTGAGATGTAACAAGTAAACGAAGTCGATCTACAAGTTCATTGGGATCATCCTAATGAATATAATCGACAGGATGATTTTGTTTATGTTTAATCATATACCGTGGTAAACTTTCCCAACTTTTTGGTATATATTTACTGATTATGTCGGTGAATTTTTTAAATTCTTTTCTACTCTGATACTTCTGTCAGGAAGATAATGCTTTCGATAGGCGTTTGTCATACTGATAATTTTGCCATAAGTGTTTTTATCTTCTTTTGTTTTTTTTGATTGATCAGGTGAATTCATGAATAATAATTTCAATAGACCAGAAGTAGAATTGTATTTTTTATCACCAATATAAATAAAATTATTGTCGAACCTGACTTCAGAATCACCCATCATCAGTCGATTACCTTTTAACTTTCGTATGCCATACTTTGTATTTAATTCTTTGGACAAGAGCTTAGAATCGAAAATCTTCAAATACCTTACTACAGGTATGTCTTTAATGGGAGTACTTTGATGGGTAATTGTCGCTGTTGTATACGATTCATCATCAGTTATTTCATAATCAGGTGTAAGGCTTTCTTGTTTGCTTTCAACTTCTTCTTTAGGTTCTTCTTTTTTTATTTTTATTTCTTGAGGTTCCTCTTTAATAAGTGTTTTATCAGCTGATTGTTTAAGAGGAGTCATCATAGGTTTAAATATTTCACTCATGGTTTGTTGAGTCATATCTCTGGCAAGTTTAATCAACTTATGCTTTTGGCGTATTGCATCACTAGTTTTCGCTATTTGATGCAATATTTTTTTTTCTTGTTGCAGCTTCGTAGTTTTCATGTTCACACTTTGACAATCACATACATAATGTACAATTTAATGTATTCACGATGAATTTATACCTATTAAACAATCAAATCCTCTTCTATATCGCCCATTACTAAGATCACTGTCTTTATCAATTACCAAGAAGCCATATTTATCATTATTCCAGCACATTGAACATATATCTCGAAAATGAGAATAAGTCATGTCAGTATTTACATGATCATCGTAAATGTATTTTAAATTCATGTCATCATATCTGAAAAGTACAAGAAAGTTTGTATTGTCACGTACCAAATATTTTGTGATTCGTGCATAAGTTTGACAAAGATAGAAGCAGTCAATATCTCTATGTCGTCCCATACAAAAAAAGGTTCTCATATTATCTTGTTTTTCGCATGCAACGTCATCGAAAATCATAATTGAGTTGGGTTTTGCTTTATCCGGTTTTACCACTTCCTCATGCTCATTAAAAGCATAAACACTATTTAGTAAAAGTTGTCCGTGACGTTTGATATTTGTGTCTCGAGATAGGTCAAAGTTAATTACAGGCAACTTAAAGTCTTGTTGATTGAACTTCATTTTGATGTAGAATGACATTCTAGCTATAAATTCACATCTTTTATAGGTGTCGAGTTAGTCGTTCTTGAACAATGATAGTGCGAAGACGTATCAAAAAACGAGGTGCTGGTATTGTTAACACACTTATAAACAAATTGCCATTTAAACTTCATATACCAGGATATCATTATTGTGGTTCGAGAACTAAATTGAAGGAGAGATTAGCACGTGGAGATCCAGGAATCAATCCATTCGACGCTGCTTGTAAAGAACACGATATTGCATATTCGCAAAATCGAGATAACATTGAAGCTAGAAACGCAGCTGATAGAATACCTGCTGAAAAATCTATGAAACGTGTTTTTGCAAGAGACGCAGATATTGCTGAACGAATTGCTGATATAGGAATTTCCAACGTCATGAAAGTTAAATCAAAATTGGGAATGGGTTTGAAGGAAAAAAACAAAAAGGACAAGGGAGTTAAACATTTGCGAAAAGTTGTTAATTCAGCAAAGCTTATGTTAAATTCCAGTTCAGATCCTATTAAATCTGCGATGCTGGTGGAAAGAAAAAAATCAAAATCAAGCTAAACGACATAACGAGAAAATGGAAGCACTAGCTTTGGGTAAAGGTCTACGTCTAAAACTGCACAAAAAAGGATTAGGATTGTATTCGAAACCGGCAAGAAAAAAAACTTTTAAATTTACCCCATCGTGCACTAACTGATATTGAACTTCAAAAATATGCAAAAATCATGAAAATACCCTCTGTTCGTGGTATTTTTATGCGAAATGATCTTCCAAAATCTACACCGTGGAAAAATGAATCGGCAATTATTAATCTCGACGATAAAATTGGACCTAGAACACATTGGGTGGTATATAAAAAACGTGGTAATAAAGTTATATATTATGACAGTTTTGGCAATTTGCAGCCACCACATGAGCTTATGAAATATCTTAATGTTGATAAAATACTGTACAATCATGAAAAACATCAAGATTACAGTACAGATAATTGCGGACACTTGTGTTTAAAATTTTTACGTAGAAAAGTATAAAAGTAATATGCACTTTCCAATAAGTATCAGTAATGGATGATTCACTCACGTTAACATTGTCTGGACAAACGTCTATTCTAGAAGCGTTTTATCTTCCACCAATTGAATTATCATCATCTAAAAAATATACCCTAGGACTTGTGGAATTATTAACCTTTAATTCCATTCCAAATATTGATGACGGCAATAATAAATTTTATTATACACTCAATAGTGAAGATAAAAGTATTAAAATACCCACAGGAAGCTATGAAATTGAAAACATTGAAAATTATTTGAAGAAAGCTAATACTCAATTATCGATTTCTATTAAGCCCAATAATAATGAACTACACAGTGAAGTTTACAGTGAAAATGCAACAATAAATTTCAAACCGCATGATTCTATTGGTAGTTTGTTGAGCTTTAGTCCACGAGTTATTTTTCCAAAATTGACTCACACATCAGATTTACCAGTGTCTATCTTGAAAATTAATGTATTAAGGATTGAATGTAATATCACTACAAGAGCATACATGAATAATCAGTTGGTACATACGATTCACGAATTTTTCCCATCAGTTCCACCAGGATATAAGATCATTGAAGTTCCATCAAACTTCATTTATCTTCCAATCACCGTACAAGCAATACATAATTTACAACTGCGCATTGTTGATCAAGATGGTCAATTGGTAAATTTACGTGGTGAAACTGTAATAATACGTTTACATTTGAAATCAGTCACGTGATGGGGATTGTTTATAAACCAATAGTAGGGGGAAGCTATAAAACTAACATATCTAAAACTAACATAACATAAAAGTGTGCAGTCTTGCATGTCTTTTACCAAGGAAGATGAAAAATTAGCAATAAGCAAAGGTGTCATATTTGATGAGTCTATTGCACACATTGAAGTGCATGCTCATCAACCATATGCATCTACAACATATAATAATAATGATGAGATACATATCTCAGTTCAACATCAAGATTTATGTCTGTTGCCGAGCAAAAGTTCCCTTCATATTACGGGGAAATTTACAAAATCTAACGGAAATGCTGTAGCAGCAACATCAACATTCGTTAATATGGCCGTGTGCTATTGATTTGAAGAAATACGATATGAATTGAATGGTGTTGAGATTGATCGAAATAAAAATGTTGGTCTTACAAGTCTCATGAAGGGATATCTATCTCTTCATCCAGATCAAAAAAATTATTTAGATAATGCAGGTTGGGTAACTGATCATGAAAGATTATTTAATGATAATGGATACTTTGATGTTTCGATACCGTTACATATGCTATTGGAATTTGCTGAAGATTATCATCGCATAATGGTCAATACTACACATGAATTAATACTTACTCATTCAAATACTGATTTCAATGCAATTGTACAAGCTGCAGCGGAACCTGGAGAGACGATCACGCTTATAAAAATTAAATGGATAATTCCTTATGTCACTGTTGCAGACATAAAAAAAGTAGAATTGTTATGTTATATTGCAAAAGACCCACCGATTCCAGTGAGTTTCAGATCATGGGAATTATGTGAATATCCAATGCTGCTCAACACAAACAAACACGTATGGGTCGTAAAAACATCAACTCAATTGGAAAAGCCCCCCTATGTTATATAGGGATTTCAAACTGCACGCAAAAATGATGCTACAAAAGATGCAAGTCATTTCGATCATTGTGATTTAAGGGATGTAAAACTTTTCCTCAATTCACAATGCTATCCATATGGCAACATGAATCTTGACATAAGTCACAATCAATTTGCCTTATTATATGATATGTATAGAGATTTTCAAACATCATATTATGATATAGAAGCAGAACCTCTACTTACGAAAAAAAAATTTATAGATATAGCACCACTCGTTGTAACTTATTGTTCTAAACGGAATGAATCCTTGAAATCAGGACCAGTTGATGTTCGCCTGGGATTTGAATCATCAAAAGCTTTTCCTGCTAACACATCAGCCTATTGTTTGATCTTACATGATCGAATAATAGAGTATGAACCTTTAAGTGCGCAAATGAGAAAACTAACATAAAATATTGTAAAAAAATGTATATATTATATAATTATGATTATATTATTCATGTATTAATCAAATTGTTTTGGCTATAAATAAATTGTGTACACGAGAAAGATGACTGTTTTCATTCATTTACTTTCAGAAAAACCCGATAGTCGGTACCGCAAATTTGAGAGAATATTAATACATTGACAAACTTTTGAAAATCATTATTTTTGCTGGTACTGAAATTTTCATCGCGGTTGGTAAAAAATCGGTATACTCGCTGAAGATAACTTATCGAGGACGGTAAAAATCGATACTATCGCTGTCGATAACTTATCACGGTAGATAAGTCGGTAACTTATCGTCAAAGTTATCGCGGTCGGTAATTAGTGTGGATCAGAACCCACTTTTTGACTCGGCCGGTATTGCAGAGTGATCCAGAACCGGCCTTACATATCTACTTGCAGTTAAAATAAATGAAAATGATGATACTCATTTAACATTAATTAATATAATACCTGAAAATAACTTAAAGTACATATATTCATCCACTATTATCATTTTTATTAGGTAAAAATGTGAATAAGGAAGCTCAATCCAAGTCCGCGTATCCAAGCATGTAGTATAAAAACACATACATATAAACTCAATACCGAGATTATGCTGGCCATGTGGTTAGAGCGTCAGAGTTCTATTTTGCCGGGTAGGGTTCGATCCCAGTCATAACCACTCTTTTTTTCTACTTTATTCATTAGATTAGCATGTAAATATAATATTGACATGCCATAATTAATCTTTTATAACAATTTGATTTTTTTTCTCTTTACTCATTGAATTTATTGACGCTAAGTCGGAAAATATTTGAACAGAGCCATAAACTTTTTTTTTGTATAAATACATTGATAATAGCCTGTGTTTAACAACTTATACATCTTTACATGTATTAACAATGTTATGTTATTAACAAGTTAATCATATTATTATTAACATTGAAAAGTAGTTTAAACAATCTGTGGCGTGTTTCGGCACTTTCCCGGCAAGTTCTACCCCCACTCTCTGTGCCCAAGCCTGCAGCTTATAATTTTCAAGCATCATTTATATTTTTGTAATCACAGCAGCTCGGTGGTTAGAGCATCGTTCTCTCATTTTGCTGGGCAGGGTTCGATCCCAGTCATGATAAAGTTTTTTTTTTCTTTTTTATTTGTTAGATTTGCATGTAATTATATAATAATAACATGCTAAAATGAATTCTTACTAACAATTTGATTTTTTTTTCTCAATTCTTTATGTAATTTATCGACGCCGAGTCGGAAAACATTTGAACAGGGTTATAAACACTTTTTTTACCATAGCTTTATGGACGTACATTTTTTTAAGCAATTTAGAAATATTTAGAAGTAGTTGAAATAATCCACGGGGATTTCCGGCACTTTGCCGGCAAGCTCTGTCCCCACCCTTCGTACTCAAGCCTGCATTATACAATTCATAAACATAAACGGAATGTCAGAGATGATATGTTAGCTCTGTGGGTAGAACACCAGGCTTTCATTTTACCAATTAGGGTTGGATCCCACTCATATCCAATTTTTTTTTTCATTAAAATTTTATATAAATACAATGATTGGTTGTTTATGTAAGTTTAAAATCAATTCCTATTGTCTTTTTAAGACAACATTTTCTAAAAAAGAGAATTCATAGTAACTCGTTCGTCACCCTCAGCTTATTTTTTGAAAAACAAGTTTTTTTTCGTAATTAATTGGAAAAATAATTTAATAAAATATATGAATTAATTTATAAGTGTATAAAGTCACTTGAACAAAAAAAAGAAAAACAAATTGCCTATGACTGGGATCGAACCCTGCCCAGCAAAATAAAAGATTAATGCTTTAACCACCGAGCTGTTGTGATTACAATAGTATGGACGATGCTTGAAAATTATAAGCTGCAGGCTTGGGCACAGAGAGTGGGGGTAGAGCTTACCGGCGAAGTGCCGGAACTCGCCACGGATTGTTTAAACTATTTTTTATTGTTAATAAGTCGTTCAAAAAAGCTATTATCAATGTATTTGTACAAAAAAAGGTTAATGGCTCTGTTCAAATATTTTCTCATTTGTCATCGATTAATTGAAAAATAATTTTACATAAAAATTGAAATTTAAAACTCATTTCTGGCATGATAAAATTGCAATTACATGCAATTAAAATAATAAAAAAAATATTGCCGCAATTAGAATCGAACACCGTTCGGTAAAATAACTGTCGAATCTTCTAACTATAGAGCCAGCATATTTTTATTTGCTTTGTTTACGTTTAGATATCATAAGCTTCAGGCTTGGTAACAGAGGGTGGGGGATGTGCTTGCTCGTCAACTGTTTGAACTTGCAGTCTTCTCTGAACAATAAGACGGAGATAAATACAGTGGAATCCGTTTATAATGACATCGAAGGGAATCGACAAACACGTCATAATAAGCGGACGTCATACAAAGCGTTTTGTGAAAAAAAACCATTTGTGCGTAAATATGTATGTATGTATTTTAATAGAAAAATATAGTATGTAACTAATGAAATCAAAATTGCACATTTATTACGTACACATGATACACATACAAGTGTATTTTTTAATGAATAAAATCTGTAATTTTTGTCTGCTTTTTTTTTTCATTTTATTGTAAAAATAGTCTCTAATACTATTGTGTATAGAAGACATCGCCATGGTCAAATTATCGTTTTCAATATTGCTATTAATAAATCGGGATAATAATTCTGCAGCTTTTAATGCCTCTTCTGCGGTAGGTAATGATTCTTCCTCGACTTCCTCTTCGCCATCACTTTCAAGTTGTTCCTTAGCATTAATATTCTGTACGATATTGTCATCGGTGGGTTCTTCGGATGTGAGAAGAGCGCTATCGATGTCAACATAATCTTCCCACATTACCGGTGCTGCTAAAGAATCTGAATTTAGATTTCGTGACCACAAAGATAAAGGGACTTCATCTTCTTCATAAAATTCATGTTCTGATATTTGATTAGGTAAACCGTCGTGTTTTTCAATGAATCCTGCATGTCTGAAACAGTTGTGGATGATACTTTGTGACATTTTATTTCAGGCATCATTAACCATCAGAATTGCATCTAGCATCGTTATTTTTGTAGAAGGGTTGTCGTCATTAACAGTAAGACTATTAATCATTTTGAGCACAAGGTTTTTTCTAAAATTCGTTTTGAGTGCTCGTATTATTTCCTGATCCATTGGCTGTAGTACTGATGTTGTATTCGGCGGAAGGAAAGCAAGTGTTATAGACTTTAAATCAGTAACATTTGGATGCGCCGGGCAATTATCAACCAGCAATAAAATCTTTTTCATCACTAGATCACGATCCCAATCTCGAAACCATTTTTCAAAAAGTTCTGATGTCATCCAAGCTTTACGATTGTTAGCATAATCGACAGGTAATGATTTGACACCTTTAAAACATCTGGGTTTTTGTGACTTTCCAATAATGAGCAATTTCTTTTTTTTGTGCCACTCATATTAGCTGCTACCATGACAGTTATTCTATCTTTCGATAACTTGCCTCCACTACAATTCTCACCTTTAAATTTTAATGTTTTGTCCGGCATCAATTTGTAAAACAGTCCAGTTTCATCAGCATCGAATATCTCATCATCAGAAAATTGTCTTCGTAGATTCGGCCACACAGTTGTTAACCAGTTTGTTTTTGAATTTTGATCAACAGACGAAGATTCGCCGACAATTTTTCCCGCCACAATGTTATGTCGAACTTTAAAACGACTGATCCAGCTTGCAGAACAATTGAAATCGAGAATACCAAAACGCGCGGCAAAAACGTTTGCCTTTTCCTGTAGCATAGGGCCGCTGATAAGTATTCTTTTGTTTCTCATGGTTTTAAACCACTGAATTAATGCTTCATCAACATTTTCCTGTCGCGATTTTCGAAGCCTCTTTGGTTTCAAAACATTTGAATTAAACGATTGCTTAATGCGGTTCTTGTTTTTAAAAATCATTGAAATTGTCGAATGACCAACGCCAAATTCCTTTGCGAGAGATGAGTTCGATTCTCCATTTTCTAATCTACATATTATTGCACCTTTCTCCTCAATCGTAAATGCTTTACGACGTTGAAATGACATTCTTTTCACAGTATAGACACAAACGACAAACGAAAAATAATGTGTGACCCTCAAGCGTCAATTACTCACTGAGATTCAAATAAAAAACGAGCCATGTGCCAAACGTCGTCGGGAATCAACGAACATTACCGAAGGTGTAAACATGATACTTTGCAATGTAAAGTATCATATCGGTCATTATAACCGGACATAATTTATTAAAAATGGGTCATAATAAACGACATGTGACTATAAGAGAAGTCATTATATCCGACTTTTTTGTAAAGAATTTTATATGAAAACAAAACTTCGTAGTGGAATTACGTCATAATAGGCGGTTGGTCAATGTAAGCGGACTCATAATAAACGGATTCTACTGTAGATATATTCTGTGCTCTGTCTTGCTCGGAACAGATTATTATCATTTTTCGAACGATTTCATTGTTACCTACTTAATTTCAATTGATGTCAAGCTTCGGCCTTTTGCCGCACAACGCGAGGGCGTAAAGTCAACTCCGGGAAACGGGAGCGTGGCATCGGGAGCGTGACATCCGTCCCCAATAAGATGTCAGTCAAAGGCATTTTTACAATCTTTTAAATTTAAATCTTTAAATGTATAATCTTACTGATTGTTAATCAAATTCTGTGATGCCCAGATTTTTTATCTAATGATCATTTTAAAAATAAGCTTTATTCTTTTAATCTTTTAAAATTGGTTTTTTTTCATTTTCAATCATTTAATATTCAATCAAATTATAAAAATTTTTCTTTTTTTAATGTTTATCATTTCGTTGAACAGTCAACTTAAGAAATTAGGACTGGTAAGTTATCTTGCGTCGGTATAGTAGAAAAAAAATTCAAAATGCTTATACAGAGAAAAGTCTTCTTTCTGGCTCATGTAATGTCATGTAATTCCTACTACATAAATAAGTATATTTAGGCTTATAATCTAATGATAATAACATTTTTATCTTAATGTTAGCGTAATAACGTAATCCAAGTGAAAAAAATTTGAAAACTGAATTATTAAAAAGTTGAAAAACTTCAAAAATAATGTCTGTCAGTATTATTCTCTCCTTTAATAAACATAAACAATTTTCGTGCAACGAAAAAAAAGTTTTATTACTTAAGTTTTTATAAAAATAAATCAGTATTTTTAATGAATACCTTAATTTACCTGAATTTAAATATAAATATAATATGAATATAAATTTATTAATAAATTTTCATATAAATCACTACTCAATTCAATTATTTTAAAATAAAATAATCAGGGTCAATTAAAGAATTCAAAAATCATTCCTGAAGTTATAAGTATAACTTTTATTTATATTTAAGAAAATTTACATTTGCGTGTATCTCTCTAACTTTGGTTATCCACACTTCCAAATTATGAGCCACGTTGTCTCAGCTCCCGTCGAATATTTGTGCGTTCAACTACTGCCTACAAATATTCTGACAATGTCATCCTATATATAAATTGATATTATAACAAATGTGTTTTAATATTTACCCAAAAAATTACTTTTTTGTGTTGAAACTAATTGTCGTGTGAACTAAATTGAGTAATAATAAAAATTTAATAGGATCTTAATTTTATTTCTCTTCAATATATAATTTATTTGTGTGAAAATTTATTTTGTTTTTAAAAAAATATGTCATTAATGAAAAAAGAGTTTGAAATAAAAATTATATTGAAAAAAAACCTGTTTAAAAAATTTCATTACACGATGGAAGAAACTAACTTCATTAGAAAAGTTAAACTAAGCGTAAATTAATGATACAAATAATATATTTTATTTTATTTATAATTACGATAATACTAGAAGACTGTGTTACTGATAGTCAATTAAAACACAAACTAACTGAAGAAATAGCAAGTAATTCAGTAACTTAAATGATTGATGAAACAAAAAAAGGAAATATATTGAAGAAAAATTCAATTTAAAAGTAAAGTATTTTTTTATTATTTTGAATTGTGTAATTGATATTGTAAAGAAATTAACTCAATATAACTTGATGTGGTATATCTCTAACGATAAAAAATATCGATATAAGTAATTGGTTTTGAAGAAAATTATGCTCCATTTCAAGAAGATCAATCTAATATTTATTTTTGGTAAGTAAAGTTGCTATTAAACAGTTCAAAATTTAAAATCATATAAGCATTTTTAATTTTTGATTGAAAACAGTGTAATTACTGTCATCTATTAGAAAACAGTGACACTAGTTGAATTTTTTTCTACTATACCGACGCAAGATAACTTACCAGTCCTAATTTCTTAAGTTGACTGCTCAACGAAATGATAAACATTAAAAAAAGAAAAATTTTTATAATTTGATTGAATATTAAATGATTGAAAATAAAAAAAACCAATTTTAAAAGATTAAAAGAATAAAGCTTATTTTTAAAATGATCATTAAATAAAAAATCTGGGCATCATAGAATTTGGTTAACAATCAGTAAGATTATACATTTAAAGATTGAAATTTAAAAGATTGTGAAAATGCCTTTGACTGACATCTTATTGGGGACGGATGTCACGCTCCCCGGGAAACTTTCTGACTTCAGCCCAGCCTTAATGACACCGAGTGTACTGATTCGGTTAGTATAACCAAGTAGAATTTTTACAGATTACTAATGACAATCAACAAGCGAGTAATTATTATTACCGATTAACAAATAAAATTGGAGATAATTTTCAAATTTCACCAAACAGAAGATTTTCATAAATATAATTGTTTACAGTTGTAATTTCAGTATACGGAAAAATGTTTCTTTTTTTAGTATAAATTTTTTTTCTTATTATCTTCCTATTTAATCAGCTAGGAGTATTCGTGTGATAAAAAAAGGTGTTACTAATTTATTTTTCATATAACTACATAAGTGGTAGCTTTTTTTTCAAATACAAATTATAATAAGCCGTTCAAGCAGTCAATAGCATGCTGCGCTTAGTTGAAAGTCTATAGTTACCTTTTTTTTTATCAGACCAATTTTACAGTAAAATCTGACATCTGAGGCGTAGTCTCCATTCTTAATCGTTTATAGCAATAAGATATTGTTATAAATCTGATAAAGCTAGAAAAAATAGTCAAGAAGTCAGTAATGGACAAAAAAATTATTTTATCATTTAATTTAAATAAATAAATTAATTCCATTCATGTTAAATTGTCAATAACTCGTTTTTTAATGAGAAAAAATTTTCCGTTGGAAGAACTCAAATATCCTGCATAAATCCTGTTTCCAATATATACTACTATAAACAAAAAAAGGGTTTTTTTTTATATTGATTTTACATTATAATTAACTCTCTTTGAGTAACGAAAAAAATATTCCGTTAGAAGAACTTAAATACATTGCATAGATCTCGTTTTTAATAGTTTAATTGTAAAATCATTCTTTTCATTAACTGAAAAAATAACATAGTTCCAAATTTTCATGCCTTTATCTTTTTAGTTCATTACTATTCATGCCAGTCAAATAGTATCTATGCGCACTGCAAATCCCAAGATTTCATAAACGTGTTGGAATAATACCCATAAAGCGTGTTCAATGTAAAATCTCAATAAACAAACTATACATAATTTGTAGACACTTTTTGGACATTTCATATAGTTTGTTTACGGCATTCAAAATTGAAAAGGCTTAGTGTGTTGAAAGTGTCTACAAGAATAACACACTTGGATTTATAGTATACGTAATCAAATTAATCATAATTCTCTAAGATGAAATGTATGATAATAATCGTCGTGATTTAAATGAATAAATTGTTTTATTATTATCACTGTAAATTTTAGTGTTTCAAAATCGAGACAATGTTAATCAAATAGGTGACGTCAGATCCAATAAAAAAACTTTTGATCTCTGTAGAAACAATTTTAAATCGGGAAATTGACTAGAACCTTGACAGAAAGAAAACAAAAAGTTGTAAAATACAAAACTTAAGATTGGTGCAATACTAAATAATGTAGATCTACTCTAGTCAGAGTGACAATATATTGTAATAAGTGTAATAAAAATTCAAAAAACAATTTTAAGAACAAAGATATTTTTTACATGATGTCAATATTGATACGATATTTAATATTATATTTTGTACTTACAAAAAAATTTTAACGCACATTTTGTAAAGAAATAATAATTATTACCATATTATTTCAATTTTATACATAACGGTACTTTTTACTTTGTAAATACTTAGTTGTACATTATATTTCACACTTGATTTGTATGCAAATTTTTATTATGTGGCTAGAGTAATAAGAATTATATTTTCTTATTTTGTAACACATTTTTAAGCTCGTTGAGGATTTTAAATAATATAATATTACAATAGAAAAAAATTAAATTATAATTCATGAATTTATTTAATCAAATTTAATTATATTTTTTCCCTTAAACTTATTTGTTGTCATTAAGAAACAATGATTTTTATTTTTTAGTTTAAAATTTAAAAACAATATATATATTGCATGAAAATAAGTACATATTCAAAACTATATTGTATTTTTCCATGCATAATTTTATTCTGGATGTATCTAACAATACACTCACGATATTATTGAATAACATTTTTTATAGTGAAAAAATAATTTTTTTATATCGCAAATATATACTTATTTTCATTTAAATTACTCTTTGTTTATAGTTGACTTCATATGTTAGAGATGAAATAATAAGAATCCATTAATTTTTAATCCACATATAATACCAAAAAAATGACCAACTAAACAAAAACAAAAAATGTTTAGAATTCAATTAAAAAAAATTATTTTTGTTATTCGCAAATTTTTTTGCCACACAAAAACTTGTATTACTATTTAACGTTATTCTTCAATCAGCATCATGTAGAAAGTGGAAAATAAATATTTTTGAATCGATTTCCATGGTAAAATTCGAGTGTTGACAGGAGACGATCACCAATTTATCGTCAGTCTTCTCAAGTCAACTTGACTAATCTCATTATTTTTAATGATTGTGACGCATTGTGGTTAAAACGGAGAGTTTTAATAGACAATAAAGTGGTCTTCTACGTTTTTCGTTATCATGGAACCTCTTGAAAAAACGTATAGATAAGCCCAGGTATTAATAATGCTCATCGGAGCCTTCACTCACTCTATTCTCATTTACTTTATCATTAACTCTATCATCTTTATTTTAATCCACCATGACTTCCACCAAGAAATAGCGTTCAAAGTCAACGCATTTATTTCCATTGACACGGTCTCATAACCGAGATAAGAGTTTTGGATAGCATTGAATTACTAAACGCAAGTATTTAACAGTTGTGATCACGTTCATCATCAAGAAAAGTGTCACAGTAAAGAGAACTTGGCGTCATTCGATTCGTCACGTAGGAACTTCCTGACGCCGGAGTCTCAGTAGGATTTGGCGTTGGGATGAGCAATGGTGTTCTTTGAAGACTGATGGCAAGTGGAAGTGTTCCAGGAGTACACATCCCCACTGCACCACGTCCTCCTTCCGTTACTGAACGATATCTTGGCAGTCTCGTTGACCTAAAACATTACTATCACATTTTCCTGATCTTTCCAAAATTAACTTTAAAAAAAAAATCTTTTCCAAAACTGTATTCTGTAATTACTACTTATTTTGAAATAAATAATATGTCAGCACAGACTTTTTGCGGATTTTTTTTTCATTTCCCTATTCCATGTTTTCTACGTCAATCTACACAAACATAAATTATTTCCAAGTTTTACTTGGAAAATTATAAAAAAATTTGCTAGTCTTGCAATCTATTTATGGAAAACATTTCATTTTGATGAATAAACTAATTATTTTTGTATACTTTTTATTTTTTTTTAAATAATTATAGTGACGAATTGTTTAGAAAAGATTTTGTTTAAATAATAATAATTGATCATCTCACCTAGAACATTTACACATCAATAATCTTATAAAAGCAGCTCTAAATGTTTGATTGAAGATGGTGTATATAACAGGATTGATGGTCGACGATACATATCCTAGCCATAAACATGTATTAACAACATGGTTTGGAACTTCACAATCAGGACATGCAGCAAAAAAGATGTTGAGAATAAAAAAAGGTGCCCAGCAGAAAACAAATGTAAAGAACACCAAGCCAAGTACTTTACTGGCTTTCTGTTCAGTAGCAACTGCATTAGCAGCTAAAGATCTTCTTCTGGATCTTCCTTGAAGAAATCTAAACAAAAAGATTTTATAATGTCAAGCACAGTCAAGTAGCTTCTGTTTCAGTTACTAGTAGTTGTTAAATTTAATTATACAAATATTTTAACAATTTTTTTTTTGCAGTTAATTAATTAATATTGCTCTCAAAATTCTACATTATTAAAAGTTTACCAACTTTTTTTTTGCTTTTACATTTTTCAAACTGTCCTTATTATGATCATTATTGTGAAACAATCAATCACGTACAATAATTGAAAGAGTAAGTTATCCTCTCAACTTCGTAGTAATTAAAATTTAGTTACTACTTCTATACCATTTCCTAAACTTGACATTAATTATAAATAAATTAAGCATCAAATAAAATTGTTCAAATCCATCATTAAACTTTAGCTATTCATTTAGACTTAGATGTCATTGATTTTATAACTTTTGGAATAATCAATCGAACGTAAAGTAGTAATGAAAATAAAAAAGTAAAAAAGAGATATATGAATGATAATGAAAATTCTCATCATCTGGCTCTTTTATTCTTCTATTCTCCTTTACTTTCGCGACTGCAGCTATTTATTCATCAATATTTGAATGATCAATTCTTCAATATGTGGTCAGCAGCTCTCAATGAATTTTATTAAAATATTCATGACTACTGTAGGTATCAAACTCAGCCAAGCAAGTATTAATAATTCATAGAAATTGATTAAATTACTCTATTTCTCTTGCATTTTATTTAAAAGCATTTTACTCTATAAAATCAATTGTATCAATTGAAAACAAAACTACAAGGTGAATTTATTTATATTTAGCCGTAGGGAAAATAGCTTGTGTGATTATTAAGTTCAGTATAAATGAAATTTTTCTCTTACATGAAATGAAGAAAGAAATTTTAAACTTTTTTTTATTTATATCTAAAGTCTTTGATGGTATTAATTTATTAAAGTGACCCTAGTAACCAAATTTACGTAAAACTGATGGCAGACTTATATATTTTGGCTAACGTTTGTCATTTACGTATGTTTCTACTGTGTTTAAAGAGCAGACAAACGTAAGACTGTCGTCAGAAATTTAACATCACAGGGTGAATGAGAATCTGACGCAGAAAGGAAACAGATGGATATAAGTCTGACGAAAACTCTTACGTCAGGGCTTACTACTATTTAAATAGTCCTAGGTGAAAAATTTCATACTATTCCTTTTTTTCATTTTAATTTTTTAATAAAACTTAACTGTTTGAATTTATTTTTTCTACTAACTGGATAAATTTTTCTAGTATATATAAATATTCATTCAATTCTAAAGCAGTTACAATTGATTTCTATAACAACAGATAGATCTAGTAGATGGCATTAACTTCTTGGCCTTCCATCTTTTCTTCATCTAATACAGTTGTCAGATAATTGTTAAGTCTATTAATGTAACGTGAGCTAAATTGCACTATTTCTTCTTTAACTCGATTCATCTTCAAATCATTACGGATTTGTATCGTTTGACACAAAACCTGGTGTATTTACTATTACTCTGAAGGCTTTGGAGTATTCAAATATAATGTTGGTAATACTTAACAAATTTTGTTCATGATTATAAAATCCTTCACTCAGTAATATAATATTCATGAATGTAAGCTAGAACTATTAAGAAGATGAATGAAGTGAATGATAAATGTGTGGTTGTCGTGATAGAATTAGTTGAGAGTATACTGGCCATGAAAACTCAGCGGAACCCAAAATCGGTTTTCACTATTTCTGCGTTTTCGAGTGTGCTTATAAAGGAGCTTCTTGTCATGTTAATTTGAGTTCTGTACTCAGTTAGTTGAGGATTATCAAACTTGAAGCTTAGGAACTTGTGGGAAAACTTGTTTGAGCAAGTTGATAGCTGGGGTGACATTGAATGCTCATTATTCTCACCTAATTTCTCAATAAATTTGCTCAATAAATTAATGTGATGGAATGAATTATAGTCACTGCAGCATAGTCGTTCCATTGATAACAATAGAGTTATGACCATACACTTTTATTGCTCAACTTTTAATTTTTTTTCTAAAAAACAAAAAAAAAAAACTATTTTATTGAAATAATATCAGAAAAATATGTCTTTACTATTAGCATCTACAAAAAAATGGCTACGAATGATATTTTTCAAACCTTGGGAATGCAATTGAATTGAGAGAATAAAAATTTATGTGAAAAAAATTTAGTTGTAGCCTGCAGATTTGCATAGATGGATATTAGGTCAAATAATTTGTTTATTTTTTTTTCATGCTATAATTGTTTTGGAAAATTTTTCAATGTGTTTTTCTCTATTAATTAAGAATAACTTTCATTAAATAATTTTATTTATTCAGTTATTTTATTGTTTTATTTATTAGATTAGATTATTTTTCCAAAAAAAACTCACCTAAAATTTAAATTAGTCGAAGCGACATTAAGATGAAGCCTAAGAGATCGAAGACGAAAATTTCTAGTCTCTCGGGCAATGTTATCTGGTGTTTGAGTACTCTGATCTGTTTTGTTACATGTTCTAGGTTGCGTCGTCCCAACATCTGTCTCTTCCACTGCGCCATTCAGCTCAAAACTTGAATGTGACATTCCGGTTCTCGTACTTGTGCTTCGGCTGTTTTGTTGTATTGACATAAGGAAGTACAAAAGATATTGTAAGTTTATTGTTTCATAAAACAAATAATTGTGATGTAATCAAACTATCATCATAACAATACTGATATCTTGGATTACTTTTGTTTGGTTTTTTTATTTATTTTGAACAATTTGATGTACTGAGAAAAACAAAATTACTGGTATCAATAAACTATTGTTTTTAAGAATCACAATAGATTTTTTTATTGGTTTATATATATATATATATATATATATATATATAATTATAATAATTATAATAATACTAATAATTGATTTTAAAAACACAACAAATCTTTTCACTCTTTCCACGCATATTTTGTTGATTAGTTTAAATTGTAAGTAATTAAATTATTTTATTGGTACCTAGATATTCAAATTATTTAATTAACAATTAATTAATTTTTTCAGAAAATTTTTAGAAAGTATCCAGAGATGAAATGAGAGAAGTCTAGAAGTGTTTCAAATTGCAGAGTTTTTAGCATATTGTACAACACTACACGGAGAAAAAATTCCGTTAATTTTTATTTAAAAATACATACAAAAATTACCGTGCTGCTCAAGAATGTGAGTTCAAACTTACTGAAAAGTAAAAAGTAATGATCAACATACAAAAATTATAAGTTACATAAGAAAATGTATCATTCAGTTTTTTGAAAATTACTTTGGCAGCACCAGAAAATTTAGTAACGTTAGCTGTGATAACTACGTAACCGACAAACAATTTTATTTAAGTTTAGTGATAATTTTTTTGGTTATATAAACAAATAAATAAATAAATTAGGTTCATTGATAATTAACTTTCTTAACTAATTAATTCGTTGGAATGAAATACGGCACACGTTTTACAATACTGCCCCCCCTATCCCTACGATCGGGATCTTACGCAGAAAACCTGTGTCGTCGATACACAACCACCCGGCTCTCCGAAGAGATCTTCCTCTCCCGCTCACGGTGGCCCGAGAAAAATCATATAAATGACTTTTGTCTCGGCCGGGACTCGAACCCGCGACCCATCGTGTGTCAAGCTGACGCTTACCCATGAGTCCACCGCGTCAATCCGTTTAAGCTTATCATAAATTGTTAAGATATAACGTGTTGCCGCCAATATTGAATCGTAACGAAAAATATGAATGTCATCTTTGTTTACAATATGGAAAAAGTAACTATAGCACTGAGGGTGTTCACACAATCAAAAACAAAAGCCGTAAGATGTACGCATGCGTACAAACCAATTTTTAACTTATTATGATGTTAGTATGCACGCGTACGTCTTAAATTGTACGTTTTACGGCTTATATTTTTGATTGTGTGAACGGTCTTACAATACAAAGAAAGATTGTGTTGGACCGATAATTCGAAGATTCCCGACCCAGCACGGAAACTCTCGAGAATAGAAAAAATTATAGGAGAGCACCCGAATTTTTCCTACCACACGGATCATAATAAATTATATACAGATTCTCATTTTTTTCTAGTCACTTACTAATTTTTGTTTAAAGTTTGAATAAAAATTAATATTTATCGAATATTACCGTGCTGCATAAGAATTTTTACTTTTACTCTTCTTAATAAATATTGAATCTATAATAAAAATTTTAAAAGGATTACTAATTTTTCTTTGAAGGTTGTCTTAATTTTTTAGGGAATTGACATTTGCGCGTGGATTGTTGTGCTGAGCACGGTAATTTTTATTGGAATTTTTTCTCCGTGTACAGAATCATCTCAGAAAATATCAGTGGTTTGCCAGAAAATTATTTCCACACGGATGATGAACCACTTCTAAGTTTTGTTCAGTCAATTAATTAAAAATATTAAGTTAAAAAATTTTTCCGTAGATCATTGTAACTTCAGTTAAATTTAAAAGCACTTCAACTATTTTAAAATAGATAAAATCTTAAAATAGGAGTTGAAAAATAACTTTATAGACAAATTAAACAAAAAAACAACCAAACAAATTTCTCAACTCAGCATGTTGATATAGCTGCAATCCAATGATGCATTTTATTGATAAACATTTTTGTTTTTTTTCGTAAAAAAAAAAAGGTTTTTATTCTATTTCAATCTTATTTCTATTTTTCCCAAAAATAATTTATATACAAGTCATAATACATTCACCATGAATGATTTAAAGATTGCAGGATAATGGAAATGTCATTGTATAGATAATAGAGTTGTTATTTGCAGCTGATAGACTTTCCATCCCTTACTTCGTTCAGTTAAAGATTAATGTAATGTTTTTGTAAAGTCACTACCCTTAGACGAACTTTTTGTTCGCTCATGTCCATTTTCTTTTTTTTTTCTTCGTCGAAATCATGCGTGAAATGGTAAGTAAATGAACTGCAGAAAACTAAGATATTTCCAATAATATGATATCTTAATCTATCTACTAATATTTTCATTGAAGGATCTCAACCTAGTTTCTTCTCTTTTTTACTTCGTTATTTCTATTTTTTTAATCGACTTATTGCTTTAAACATATATGTTAAGTAGCTTTAAACCCTTCTTCGGATTTGAAAAAAATATTTATTTAATTTCAAACTCATTATCTTTTAGAAAAATTAAGTTTATTATCTCATACTAATTAATTGAATATTATTATGACTGTCTCATTTATATTAGCTAAATAATTATTTCATCTATTTAATTCTCATTAACTTTATATTATCTAGAAATGTTAGTTCAGTAAACAAAGTTGTGAAGTCGAGATTTTTTAGCATGGCTAAAAGTTTCAGGAAATAATCTTGCAGTTGCTCCAATTTTGAGCAAAAACTGAAATTATAAACAAACTACTCCAAACCCAGTTTTTTTGTCATTATCTCATAAAGTATCTTTACTATCATTCATTGCTTTCAACAATGTTCAGATTATTACCTGAACTTCTCAGTCCTACTGGATTTCACTATTTTGATAATTGGGCCAACAAACAATATTAAATGGATTATTTAATACTTCATACTTTTAAAAACTTTTTAAAAATCTAATACTTATCTAGTTAATTGATCTTTCATGCACATAATAAGTATTAGAAGCAGGATATAAGAGATAAAAGTGAAGATATCATTTAAACCTTCTAAGCAATGAAGTTGGTTAGATTGAACTTCCATCCTATTATTCTATATCTACAATATGCACATCATGCACTCTAACATATGCCCTAATAGACAGTAAGATTACTAAGCACATCATTAGTCTAACATTAGATTAATATAATAAATCTTAATCCAATACTGAATCAATCTTACTGCCAACTAAAGTAAGTCCACTTGCTCAAATTCATACACATTCTATTTTAGTTCAATTAGGTCTACATCAAATTATTGTTAGTCAGATTCCCTATTATTCTTTAATAATTATTTCTAAACCATCTCTAAATAGACTTAAACTTTATAATAATAGAGCTAAACTCATTACTCAATTTCAAATAAATCTTGTAGGAACACAACACAATTCATTATCCTGACATGACAAAATTATTCAATTATTATTTCCTATTCTACTGATAACAGAACGTATGTAAAGATCAAAATAACAAATATTTTCTCTTCTTCAAAATGAGATAAGACATAATAAAGCATATGAAATTTGGTTAATAAAAAAACAACCTTATAAATTCTATTTATCTTTAGCATTTATGTATAAAGAAATTCCACATTTAGATGGTTTTAAAATTCCAGTTGAGGTTGTGAAATCATTCCACCTCCCATTCTATTTGCACACAAGTCTTTTTTCTTCTCTACAACCATTATATCTTTCCTGACAATTTATTTGAGAAAATCCAAACGTATTAGAAAGTACTTGAAATTCAAGCAAATTCAAACATCGTTAGCTTTAATTATAGACAGTACTTTTAGTATTTATTTCAATTTATAGTTTATTATTGTATTCCACGTTGTAAGGATTTAAGGATCATCAGATATTGAGAATTAACACTCTGGTGTAGATAAAGGGATTGGTATCTATGAAGCAGAGAGAGCTGGTTGGGGCGAAGGGCAATGATCAATAGCATTATTATATTCGTAATAAACAGTTCTATTCAACACAATTGACCTGATTGTAAAATTTTATGTTTATACCTGCTAACAGTAGTGCTGCCACCAGATAGTCTCCATAATTGTCTGGATGTTCGGGTAGTTGGTCTAGAATTATGCGAATTGGCTTTTGTGGATGAATATCTTCCACCTAATCGTCTGAAGTGATCGCCCTCCGGATGTTCCGCTACAAAGCGTGCCTTCTTCCGGAGAAGCTGCACCGTAAGCACGTACGTGCTTACCATAACAACCATTGGGATGTAGAATGCAACGAGGGAGCCAAATACGAAGAAAGCTCGATTATTTATCACACATAGTCCTGCTTTCGGCATTATGTTTACAGGATTTATTAAACCTAGAAAAAATAATTCATTCCATTTATCAACACATCAATCTATTCTTACTTAAGTAAACCACTTTACGTGTGTTTTTTTTTATAATAAAAAAAAGCTTATTTATACTTTTGAGTGGAATTTTTTTATAAATGAGAATTGTAAAGCTTTGCTAAAAAATGGCAAACAATTTTTTTTAATCAATCTTTTTTTTTTGTTTATCTATTTTTTAGGTATTCCAAATACTGGTTTAATCTATGGAATGTATTCCAGTATCAAGGTCATCTTTCATGCCGGGAATTCCTGACATGATGTTATCGTCCACTCATTTCCCACAACCAGACCAGCATTAGTTGCCAGGATAATAATAGCTAAGGTGTCAAGGTTTATCAATTAACAATTTTATTATTAAATAATGATATTCTTTGTTATTTTATACTTACTATTATATTCATAGAATGTTTATCGCTTAAAATATGAGGGGGGGGGGTCTGTTATTAGTGAACCTACGCTAGCAGGTAGCAAAGACTGATTCATTTATGATCCATTATTGGGTCATGGTTGGAGTAGTCTGAGTCAACTGAGACTGATAGCAAATAAGGATAATTATTACCAAGTTACTGAGATATTGTATGTCGTAAGAACTATTTATACAACAGACTTGTCCGAGAATTAAAATGTGACAAGTGTTAAATTATTATCTCTATATATGAACTACTAAAAGATTAGTAATAGTTTTCATAAATTATTCTCACTTAAGAAGTTTATAAAAGAATTCTATAATATTAAAAAAAATTTATTGTTAAATATTTCAAAAATATGAACTCCATATAAAATTGTCTGTTTTCCAAGCTTCAATGAAGTATAATGAAGTTAGCACCTGAAATAACTTGATTAATAATACAATTAATATTTATCCAAGAATGGATAAACGGTTGAATAAAAATCATAATGAATAGTCAAGTAAATTTCATAATTAAAAAACTTTTTTCAATAAAATTGATTGGAGCTGTTTTTAAATACCCAATCGAAGTTTAAATGAATGACAAAGTTTAGTTATTACTAACAATAATTATTGTTCAATTAAGATAATAATTTGTCATAAGTTCATTAATATTAAACTTCGTTTAAAAGTAAATTATTAATTTAATTCTGATACAAAATTCAATTACATTAATTTGCTACATGAATTAATATTGGAATAATCTATTGAAATAATAGAGACTGAAGCATCTGGTTGGATGATAATCACGTTAAACTTACAAAGCGACTATCGAAAGTTAGTTGAACGAAGTAACACAATTAATTTAACCAAAGAAGAATTTTATCGTTTCCCATTTATCTCAATAATTAATGTCTACAAACTGGACCCTGCATCTATAAATATGCTCTACTTTTACACCGTTTATTAACGACTTGTTATCTATTGTAATTGTACTCGGTATTGTAAATTTGTTCGTTACACACAAATTATTGCAATAAATTGTTATTATTTATATAATTGATGGTCTATTGGTTTCATTTCTTTTACTAAATAAAAAACAATCCTCCAGAGTAAATGAAAATCCTTTCGTTTATTGATAAATATTTGTTCGCTATTTTTAAAAATATTTCTCTCTGCTCGTTTATTTTATTGTCATATTAAACCCTTCAATTATTCATGAACTATTATTTTCTCGTTTTTTTTAACTGCCATTTTATTGTTTTATTGATAAATATTTGACTTACCTAATACTGTGATTGAACTACTAACAAGCATTGCTAGGAACCAGACAGCCGCAATTTTGAACACGACCATCCGTTTAGTAGAAATGTGTCGGGTATGAAGAGGATTTCTTATTCCTAAATATCTTCCCAATGAGATGAAACACATGTGCATGATACTTGCAGAACATGCCAGGACATCACACGTCACATACACATTGCACCATGTAACTCCGAAAGGCCAATATCCTGTAATTTATAAGTCCAACGTTGACATTATTATCTAGGAGTTTAATTTAATGCATGAGAGAGAAAATGTTTGCTAAATGTTTGATCATTTATGTTAAGAAATTTTGTCGAAGAAGTTTTTCTAGAAAAGTTTCTACTCTTTTAGACAGAAATTTATCTTGTAAGACAATGATGGAATTGGAGAACACCAGAAAAGACAAGGTGAACAATTTGAGCTGAAAAATATTAGGACATGTCTGAGTGTAGCTAGAATTTTACCAGATTTTTTAAAGGTATGCCAAGATATGGTATTTAATAAAAAGTTCTAATTAAAATTAATATAAAAACCCTTTTTCATGATAAATTATATATTTTCAGATCTTCTCCAAGTGAATTACAAGAAAAATCTATCTTAATATCGGAAGAGTAATAAATCCACAATAAGAAACTAGATTGAAGTATGATTTCATGAAAAAATATCAGTGCTCTCCAGTGGTCTGGATGCGACCCGAAAGGTCCACATCATTAACTTCCCAGTGGAGAGAACGAATAAGATTTTGCTGGTTAACCATTTTTTTCAATGTTTCGATTTTGCATAGAAAATGGCTGGAACGATTTTGCTGAAAACCTAATTAGTTTTACATTACGTAATTATGCGCCGAATGCAATTGGTCCCACGTCGACATCATCTTTTATTCTCAAGATAATCGAGACAAAAAATAATTCCGAACGTACGTACTCATATACACGGAGAAAAATTTTATAGAAAAATTCTCATGCTCATCATTATAAAGCGAGTGCAACTGACACACTGATAGAAGAATATATTTGATGGGACTAAATTAATTCATTAAAATTATTTTACAGCATTTATTTGATACAAATAAATATTTATTTGTAGGTAATAAATCTTCTCTGCTTAGCTGTCTGATATTATTATATTTATAAAACCATTAAAAATTCATACGAAATTAAATGGTTATAATGTAGTTGCTCGTCGAGCTATTGTTTAAAAGAAAATATTAATTTTAATCATTACGAAACCGTTATTTTTTATTTGAAAATTATTAATACATAAAAGTTATTTCATCATACAACTTAACATTTGATTATGCTTTACCGTCATTCTACCTTACTATCGAGCCCAATCATAGTATTTAGATGAGAAATAAATATTTGTTAATCATTCATTGAGCCAAATAAATCTACTCTAATAAATAATTTCTCAACTGTTAACAAATGTTCATTCGATTTCTTTTTCAAATAACATATTTATTAGCTGCTAATAAATTATGTTAGATAGAATGAAATATTTCTATCAGTGCGAATAAGAAAACGTACAAACATATAGACATTTACTTAAAAACTATTATTACAGAAAATTAATAAAACCTAATGGTTGAAAACCGTTAAAAAAAAGCCTGCAATCTTGACATAGTCTTCACTTCAGTTCTTATTATTTCCTACTTGACATTATAATTATTCTTCGATATTTGTTTGATATTTTTTAAATATAAAACAATAGTACCTTTACTGATGAATCCTAGAGTTTTTTTTAACATAATAAATATTACATACATTACTAATATCATTATTAATATAATATGATAAATTGATGTCCACTATATTAACACACACAGTCTATTTAAATATCTGCTCTTAATATTTGCTAATTTGCTTTGCTCTTTTGCTTAATGATATCAATAAAGAAAATGGGTTTGGGCTTAGTTTGTGCCCTGACGATAAACTTTCCATTAATTAAAATCTGTAATTTTGTCATATTTTAATTCTTTTTTTTATGAAAAATAACTGTTGTTATAAACAACACATAATTATCTAGAGTCATATGAAGTTATTAACAACCATATTATATTGACCTCAGTTGTCAATAATGTCAATCATCTAATAATTAGAATCGATTCCAAATGTTTTCTTTACTCAACTTTTTTACACTCTTTTCGTTATAAAAAAAAATGACTGTACCGAATTTGTTTGAACTTCATTCAGATCTTCTTCATTATATTATCTTTTAAATGGAATTCGTCCGAAGTCGATATCTTCAGTAGTTCTCGAGATATCAAAAACGAAAAAAAATCTGACATACGTAGGTGCAATTATACATACGGACAATTGTACGCACGTAGATAAATTTATTTTTGAACCTTCTAATATTCTTTCAAATGTTTCAAAACGTAAAGATATGATAAAATTACGAATTTCAAAAAACGATTTCATTACAATAACTTCCTAATGGAAAGTTAAAAAGTTAAATGAAAAACGCGAAAATTTAATTATTATTCTTTATCAAATGATTATAATAAATTTCTAATCTTATTTTCCTCGTTAATATAATCAACTATTCAATAGTAAGTAAATGTAATCTATTATAATAATGTCTGTATTTCACTTAGATTAATCATTTCATCTCTATTGGTGAATACTATTGACATACAATCTATTGATAATGCTGGTAAATCAGGAGGATGTATTTCTAGTCCAATTTCGAGAAATTTATCCATGATTTAGTTGAAACATATAACTGTGAGAGAAACGATGCAAGGATAATTGAAATTTCGTAGCTATTGATGTCAGGTCTCATATCTAAGTGAATTTCCAAATGACTTATTATCGACTATTTACTCAATAAGCCATGTGATTGTGCTTTAGTCTTTAGCTCATGCGAATCCTATGATAATGCAGCTTGGAACACATTGCATTCAATACTTTCTTAAGGTAAAACCGTAGGAATTTACTATTTCACAGTGAAAACTCATTGTTTTGCAAAGGAAGTTTATTATTGGAAATTGGATGAAAAAAAACTGCAGAATCAGTAGAATTTATAATAGTTGAAATTGCAGCTGTGCGAGTCAGTTAAAAATTATTGTTTCATTTAGTAGAATATCTTTAAAATGACCTTTGGAAGGAATAATATTGGTATTGTAAAAGATGATTCTTATTCCATTTATAGATTGCTTAATTCAAAATTACTGTTATTAAATTAATGATAAATAGGAAAATTGATTAAGATACATGGAGAGAATTTTTTCACTCAATATAAGTGCAAAAATAACAAGTACACATTTAGAAATTTAGAAGTAAAAATATTTCTGTTTAACAGTGAATTATGGGTTATCGTATTTAATTATAAAATAATCGTTATGATTCTTTTACTAAGACACTTTTTAAGTATCAAGTTTACTTACAAGAACTCCGAATTTACTATCGAATAGAAATATTTTTACTTTTAAATTACAAAACGTGGACTTGTCACTTTTTGTATTTACATTTAGTGAAAAATTCTCTTCGTGTAGACTAACAACTACCTACTTTTGCTACTTTACTTTGATCAAAAAAATGCTGGTAATCTTAATCATCAGTATTTCTACTATGACATTTCTGAGATTGAAACTATTCAGCATTCACTTTTAGTTTGTCATGCTTTTACTCAAGGATGAAATGAGATTTTAATCAAAAATGTTTAGAGTTTGATGAACTAAATACTTGCTGATATTTTTCTACTAGAATGTAAATCACTTTTCAACTTTCTAAACTGTATCTTTTTTCTTCTCATAGCATAATTGTGAAAAGATACCTTGCTTCAATACCTTTTTTAAGCTTACAGCCAAGCAAACTTTTAAAATTGTCTAATGTAAAGTTTTAGATTTATGCAGGACTCAACTTTGATTGGTTGCAGCTACTATTTAATACTTCTTGTAAAGCAGCATGCTCATAGCCAATGGGTCCTGTATGGCCCTGTTAGTGCTTTTACTGTTGGATCTATTCTTGAATAAATAATCGAATAAATAAATATTTACATACTAGTGTAAGCTATTAATTCCTAAAATATGATTTTTGATTGTTTACTTTTAATAAGCTTATATAAATGTAATGATATCTTTTCTCCTTATCATGAAACTTTGTACCTCATGAGCAAGAAATATAAAACAAGAATATTTTGAAATTACTAATTTAGGTGATAATGGAAAAGTAAAGCTTTTTTTAATATTTCATTTTGCCATTCATAAATCCAATTCGAAGGTTTTCATATTACTGGAAAATTTTCTCAAAAAAAATGATAAAAATCTGCATAGCCCAACAAAGGTTTCGTAAGGTTATCAAATTTAATCCTTCATGAGGTAGAACAATAAAAAAGATAAAGAACGGACTACGGAAAATCTAGAAAAAATGATGAAGCTACTTTTTCGTTATTTTCTCGTCTATATTTTCTTTCCTCTTCTTGCTCTTTATGTGTCATCAGTGAAACGACCACGGAATTTTGTTGCCTCGAGAACTAGAGAAATGGCCTGAGATCATTTTCAATGTTGCAAGAAAATTACGCTAACAGAGAGAACGAGATAATACTTCAGCTCAAACTCAAGTCCTTAATTTATGTACTTACTTCATGGTGCTTGATTTATTGGCACAACGTACAAGCAATAAAAAACATTGATTTGTGAACTTGAAGGAGTTAAATATAAATAATTTTAAATTTGTTTCATCTTATCTAAAATCAATAAAATTATTTTTAATTCGACTTTTTTGCTTTTTCTAATCAAAAATTTAACAAAAATTTCAATGACAAAAAGTGAAATTTATTTTTAGGTCAATCAACATTTTCATGAAATTGAGAAACTCTTTGTAATCACAAATAGAACACAGTCGTTAGTAGATTGAACGAGTTCATTTCATATTAACTGGATAAAAATTCATTTTTTACAAATTACCTTTGAGATTAACTGGAATACGTATATTCAATAAAGAATACGCCCACATATCATGATGTATTGGAATGGTTTATTGACTCTCTTGTTTCTCATACTACTTCTATAACTATTGTATAAGATTAAATAATGCAAATTTTTAATTTGCGACAATCTATTCATGGAATTTATTTAATTTTTTACTGTCACTTATTTTCTATCAAGAAGAATGTTGTCTGGACAATTTTTCTTTACTTTTTCTTGACTCATTTGAATTTTTATTGTCCCTTTTAATGCTTTTCTATTGCTCTTCATACATTC